TCATGGGCAGTATAAAGGTTCTGATGGTCTAATAGACAAATTTGATGAAATGAGAATCTTTACAGTTCGTTCAGACGAAAGTCTTGAGAAAACTCTAAATGACTTTCAAACTCAAATGAACAAATATTATTGGGAATTTCAAGAAAAATACGACTCTTTACTAAATGGAACATACTATCTGAAACTAGAATATGACAAGATGAACTCCACCGTTTCATTTCAAAAGATTGAAATTAACCCTCCAAGAGATACGGAGTTTTTATTTTGGGAGTAGACAAACGTTCTTGGGCACAATTTCTTCGGTTACTAAACCAGAACGAACCATTACCACCAGATGGTCCATTTAAATTTATACTTCCACCAGCAGATTTGACAGTTTATAGAAACGTGTTTGACCCTCAAAATGTTATGTGTCATGCAAGTTTCAGTTCAAGCAACAATAGTTTTCTATGTATTGGTAAGGACTTTTATGACTTTGCTTCTAAATTCTACGAACCACCTAGTAACAGTTTCTCTGACTTTCAAGTTTGGTTCACAACAAATGGTGTGCAGCATATAATACCATTGTACTATGACTTTTATCTCGAATTGTCTTTCATATATAACTACGGAAAAGTGCTGAAAAAGTATTGAAAAATATATTTTAGGGTAGATGGTTTTTAGGTGTCACCAGGTCCCCAGGTCCCTCGGTCCCCAGGTAATTTTAACTTCTCTGAAAAAATGAGACAACATGACATTTAGACAACAACACAGGAAATAAACTTCTTCGTAAATGTTTTGTCAAACATGAACGTAAATGTTTTGTCAAACATGAACGTATATGTTTTGTCATGATTTCATCGTAAATGTTTTGAAGAACTGAAGGTGTCACCAGGTCCCTCGGTCCCTCGGTCCCTCGGTCATTTTAACTTCTCTGAAAAAGTGTGACAACATGACATTTTGACAACAGTCCAGGAAATAAACTTCTTCTTCGTAAATGTTTTGTCATGACTTCTTCGTATATGTTTTGTCATGACTTCTTCGTATATGTTTTGTCATGACTTCTTCGTATATGTTTTGTCATGACTTCTTCGTATATGTTTTGTCATGACTTCTTCGTATATGTTTTGTCATGACTTCTTCGTATATGTTTTGTCATGACTTCTTCGTATATGTTTTGTCATGACTTCTTCGTATTCTTTCACCCTCTTGAATTTTGTATAAAAACCAACCGCCGGTTTTCTTCCGGTTGCTATATTCTTCACAAAATGCTTGTTTTGAGGTCGAGCCACTTTTGGCTCCACCTGTTTTTTCAACCAAAACTCATGAATTTTCCCGAAATAAAAAATAAAGTTAGTTTTTTTAAAAAAATATTTTTTATTTTTATTGTAAGAACATGTTAGCAACAACTTTACCAAACTCTTTAGTCATGAACCCAACTTCAATGTTAGTAGAAATGAAAAGCTTCATTCCTTCTTCATATACTTTCGAAACAGAAATCCAGAAGATAAAGCAAGAACTTCTCCAAGGAGATTTAGACTGTAGTGCAAAAGATGAAACAAATGAACAGTATCTTTATGAAATGCAGGACCTGGTGGAACATCTACCTAAACTTCCTGAAATACAACAACAAAAGCTTACTATTCCTGAATTCGATGAAATAGAAGTCAGACCAACCGACTCAGTAGAAATAAAGAAGTTCATACGTAAGGTTAACTATGAGTTTCTTGGATTTCATTGCAACCACAAAGTCATGGACAAAGACTGCGATATGGTATATTTCATTGACATATATAAATCTGGGGAGTTTAAGACCTACGACAACTTTGTTTCGTTAGTTGCTGAATGTGTATGGCAGATAAGAGATAAAGATAAAAGATGTAAAATATGGAATGAACAAATAAAACCCGCAACTTTTGAGTTAAAGAAAACCATTGACGCTTTAGTTGTTCTAGCAGGTCAAATTTCAATGTATAACGCAAAAATGAACCCACAATGTTCTAAATGTAAAGCAGCAATGAGGAAATATAACTACTCCGTCAAAGAGATAGAACGTATGCGAAACGACTATGCTGACTTAAAGAAAGAAGCAGAGAAACCAGCAGAAAATAAAATGGACATGTTAGAATTTCTAAACAAAAACTATCCAACTGCTGACGATTTCCTTCTTTCAGATGTCAAGAAGAAGTATAAAGAAACTTTCGGCATTGTGAAAACTTTTGACATACTGACAGAAGAAATAGAAGCCACAAAATTGTTTAGAATTTCAAATATACATCGTACAATTCATGTAAAACGCTTATAAAACTTTATGGTAGAAATATATTTTTGTCTGATTTACACTCATTGACGATGAAATCATGACAAAACATATACGAAGAAGTTTATTTCCTGTGTTGTTGTCAAAATGTCATGTTGTCACCATTTTCAAAAAGATGTTAGTTGACCGAGGGACCGAGGGACCGAGGGACCTGGTGACACCTAAAATATATTTTTGCTGAAAAAAATGACCAAATTTCATGATATAACTGTATTTTTTTACGAAGAGAACTTTTGCACTTCGTCAAAAAAATCCCTGAAATCGTAAAAAAATGACCAAATTTCATGATATAACTGTATTTTTTTGACGAAGAGAACTTTTGCACTTCGTAAAAAAAATCCCTGAAATCGTAAAAAAATGACCAAATTTCATTATATAACTGTTATTTTTTACGAAGAGAACTTTTGCACTTCGTTTAAAATACACTATTTTTGTGTTATTTTTTACGAAGAGAACTTTTGCACTTCGTCAAAAAAATCCCTGAAATCATATCTTTTATACAAAATTCAAGAGGTGAGAAAAGAGGTGAGAAAAGAGGTGAGATCTCACCTCTTCACCTAAAATATATTTTTGCCGAGTAAAATGACCAAATTTCATGATATAACTGTATTTTTTTGACGAAGAGAACTTTTGCACTTCGTCAAAAAAATCCCTGAAATCATATCTTTTATACAAAATTCAAGAGGTGAGAAAAGAGGTGAGAAAAGAGGTGAGATCTCACCTCTTCACCTAAAATATATTTTTGCCGAGTAAAATGACATACGGAACACATACTTTTTCAGTAAGGACATATGGGGTAGAAAAGAGGTGAGAAAACGGGTGAGATCTCACCTCTTCACCTAAAATATATTTTTGCTGAGTAAAATGACCAAATTTCATTATATAACTGTTATTTTTTGACGAAGAGAACTTTTGCACTTCGTCAAAAAAATCCCTGAAATCATATCTTTTATACAAGATAGAAAATCTTACTCGCCTAAAACTCATGAAAATCGTAAAAAACGGCGAGTAGGGACAAAACCCCAGTCGCCTAAAACTCATGAAAATCGTAAAAAAATGACCAAATTTCATTATATAACTGTTATTTTTGACGAAGAGAACTTTTGCACTTCGTAAAAAAAATCCCTGAAATCATATCTTTTATACAAGATAGAAAAAATAAAGTTAGTTTTTTAAAAAAATATTTTTTTATTTTGTATGTAAGAACAGAAAATGACAAACATTGAGTTTGAAACAGTTAAAAAGATAGACAATGACACCAAAGTGGTTAGAATAGGTGATTTAAACGTAAGATACTCAAAGAAATACAACAAATATTCTTTGTCAGACATTCTAACACTATCTGGAAAGAAAACATCCCACGACTGGGTTAGAACTGCTTCTACTCAGAAAATTTTGACAAGAAATCCTGAGCTTATGATATCGGTAAGATTCTATGGAACTGCAGCATATCTCATCGACAAAAGTCTTATACCAATAGTTTTGTTATGGTTAGACCCAGTTGTTGGATATAACTTCATAACATATGGTTCATTCGATACGGAACGTTGCAGTGAAGGCTTACTTTACATCGTTCAGAAACCGAAGGACTTCAATACAAAAAGATATAAGATAGGAAGAACATATAATATAACTCTAAGATATGACAGTACAGTCAATAGAGTCAAGGTTGTGTTTGTTAACGATATGAGAGCTGCTGAAACAGAACTACTTGAAAAGTTTGAGAAAATGTATGGTGCTCCCATAAAAGGTAAAGAAACGTTTGAAGTAGATGAGATAGATAAAGCTATAAAATTATTTGACGAAGTTGCTGAAAAATACATGTAAAGCGTTTATTTTTGGTCTTTTGTGAAAGTCAGAAAATAACGCTAATTTTATTTTTTCTATCTTAAGGAAATTCATGAAAATTCAAGAGGGTGAAAAAACAGGTGAAAAAACAGGTGAGATCTCACCTCTTCACCTAAAATATATTTTTGCCGAATTCTGTATAAAATTCTGAGTAAAATAATTTTTAGGGCATGTGTCAAACCGTTGAGTTTTGACAATACTTGTACTGTTTCAGAACAATACTTGTACTGTTTCAGAACAATACTTGTACTGTTTCAGAACAATACTTGTACTGTTTCAGAACAATACTTGTACTGTTTCAGAACAATACTTGTACTGTTTCAGAACAATACTTGTACTGTTTCAGAACAATACTTGTACTGTTTCAGAACAATACTTGTACTGTTTCAGAACAATACTTGTACTGTTTCAGAACAATACTTGTACTGTTTCAGAACAATACTTGTACTGTTTCAGAACAATACTTGTACTGACAGTAGCAGAGATTTTTATCGTCCAACCTTACAAATGTAAACTTATATCGTTCTATTTTCTTCACTAGGGTCTAACACCAAAGTAACCTTACAAATGTAAACTTATATCGTTCTATTTTCTTCACTAGGGTCTAACACCAAAGTAACCTATGTACATGAAATTTCACTGCATAAAAGGAAAAAACCTGCGCGAATCGGGATTTGAACCGAGGTCTTCGACGCCTGTAGCGAGGTAGCCCATACCACTGAGCTATGAGCCGCTTGCATATTTTTAAGTAAAATATAGTATATTTGTCATATAGTGAAGGATGACCAAACTTAAAAAAAATAACGCTAATTTTTTTCTAACAAATTTTTTTATTTTGTATGTAAAGACAGATATGACAACAACAGAGAACACAACAACTGCTATCGTTCATGAAGATATAAATGAAGAATACGAGTGGGTTCAGTATAACAAACAGTTACGTCTCATTCGTTCGGTCAAAGATGACATGTACCAAATGCAAAGTATTTTGAATGCTCTTCGTTCTACAAAGCAAGCACATCATTGGTTTGAAAACCAACAGACAAAAGAACTTTTAGAAGAATTTCCTCATATGTTTGCGTTCCTCGAAAAACCGAGGAACGAGATTCCATACGAAAATCGTAAAAATTTGCCAAATGGTTTGAGAGGCTGGTATGTACATAGACTTCTTGTAAATGCTGTTGCAATGTGGGCTTCGCCTCGTTATGCTTGGTATATTTTCATGATGTTAGATGAAATTCATAGACAAGAACGTGAAGAGCTAGAGAACAAGCTTGAAGCAAAAGATGAAGTCATTGAAGCAAAAGATGAAGTCATTGAAGCAAAAGACAAAAACATACAGAAAAGAATACCACGTTCGGTACCAAAAGGAAAAGAAAAGAACTATAAGTATATGATTTATACTGAAGAGATGGAAAATGAAGAAGACAGAGATATGGTTATGTTGCATTTAGTCAGAAGAAACAACAAAAGCTTTTACGACCTTGCTAAGATTTACAAATCTGACAGAAATTGGTTCTATCGCGAAAACTTACCGATTTCAATGACCCCAAATGAAGATGTGAAACAAATAGTTCAAGATACGTTACCTCAAACACACTATGATATTAAAGGTTGTACAATACTTACCTTCAAAGAAGATTTGCCATTGTTAAAGGAAAAAATAACAGAGTATTTTGACAACTTCAAACAAGTAGAGTAAATTGCACTCTTTATTTTTACGCTTGACTTCAGATGGCTCAGGTAGCTCTATAAGGTAAATTGTCTTGTCAAATCCTTCTGGCATTCCGAGTCCTTCCTTCCGACAAGAAAAAAATTTCCCGACAACTGGAAGAACTCTTCCTTCCGACAGGAAAAAATTTTCCTTCCAACAGGAAAAAATTTTCCTTCCAACAGGAAAAAATTTTCCTTCCAACAGGAAAAATTTTTCCAGTTGTCCGTCCGTAAACCATTCAAATTTTCGAAAATTGAGAACTTTTTGGTCGAACTTCAGAAAAAGTTTTTCCTTCCGACAGGAAAAAATTTTCCTTCCAACAGGAAAAAATTTTCCTTCCAACAGGAAAAAATTTTCCTTCCAACAGGAAGAACTCTTCCTTCCGACAGGAAAATATTTTCCTTCCGACAGGACACAAACGAATGTCCGACGTACCACCAACCGAGTCCATTCCAAAGCCAGAAGAACCGACAGCCCCAGCACCACAACAGACTAAGACTAAACACTTACATTTTTTACGCTTGACTTTTTACAATTTGAACTTTGTTTGCGTAGATATGAATTCTGAAAGAAGTATGAGGGTCTTGTATGACTTTGTACTTCTCCCATAGTTCATGTCTGTCAAACTTACCTGCCATGGACTCTTTCATAAGTTCCATGAAATCGTCTTCGGACAATCCGGGGAAAAGTACAATGTCAGTAAGTATTCTCTTTACATCCTTACTTAAACTCTTTGCTGTCTGTACACAAATGACAACTGAGATGTTAAAGTGTCTGAGCTTCTTGAGAATTCGACACATGTCTTGTTCTCTGTTCTTTAACAAAGGATGAGAGGCGAAATCATCTAAGATAAGAAGACATCTATGAGGGTAAGTCTTCCAATCGTAAGATTGCAATTTCTTCGAAATGTATTCTATCTCTTTCTGTTTGTTTCTGAAGTGTTTCTTCTCTAATATTCTCTGCATTTCCTCATTTGGGTCTTTAAACTTCGAATTGACATACTCATTTATAGCATTGTACTTCAAAACTCTTCTTTGGTACTTCTTTATCCAATCTAACAACTCAGAGTCTTTTATACATACTAACTTAGACTTCTTTATAATATCTTTGAACGAATTGACGGTTTGGTCAAATTGACCAGAAGTACTACAAATAACAACTAACTCATAGAATGGGTTCTTCTCATCTAGTTCTTGTTGTTGTGCAGCCATTTTAAGATAAGTGAAAGTCTTACCCGACCCAGGTGGTGCAATTAGACCTGTTATACCATTCTGAGCAAATAAGAACTTGTCATGTATGGGTTTTATCTGAGCATTTTCTAATTTCACCTTGTTCTTGTTTAAAACATTCTCAAATTTCTTGTCAATGTCAGCAAACTTTTTTTCTAACATATTTTTAGAAAAATTAAAATTTTTATCTTTTAGAAAATGTCTAGCGATTTCGCTATCTATATTCGAGATAAACTTTTCGACAGCAAAACATCTGTCGACCATAAAATCTTACATAGTGTAAACAAGAAAGGTGAATTTGTTCTAAAGTTCTGTTTCTGGGAATATGACAAGAACCATAAAACATTAAGCAGAGCAGTCTTAAAATTTGTCAATGACAGACTTGTTGACAGAGATGACGCCGATTGGAAAGATGAAGTCCAACAAAAGTTCTTAGAATGCAAAGAAGACACATGCGCTTTTCTTGAAGATGAAATAGAAAACAGAATAGAAGAGCTATTAAAGGACAAAGAACTTTTACAAAAATATGGTTCTGAGAAGTTTGACATAACTCCACCAGAAAAGAAGAAGAGAGAAAGAAAGAAAAGAAAGTAAGAAGAAGAGAAGAAAGAACCTGAACCAGAGAAGAAGAAATTTGACATGTAAAAATAAAATTTTATTTTTAGAACATTCTCGGGTCAATGTCAATGTTCTCTTCCTCTTTAGGAGCAAACACTGGCTTAGACTCTAAAATCTTTTTACCCAATTTACCTTGAAACTTCAACTATCTTAGACTCATAATATTCATAGTCGTCTGCTTTCTTTGGTTCATAAGGTATAACAAGTTTGTATGCTTTGCCTTCTTTAAGGTTTGAGAACCTCTGTCAAAACTTTCTTTGACTGTTAACAAACTTCTATGTCTAAGTCTTCAAATTTCGCACCATTTTTAGTCACAATAGCAAACTTAACTGGTTCGATGTTCCAAACTTTGCTGAATGAAGACTTTTCAAAATGGTAGAAGTAAACATTCAAATATGTGAATGGGTCTAGTTCTTCTTTAAGTCCTGACATGTACTTGTTTACTGAGTGAATTTTGCCATCTTTTCTATCGGATAAAAAAATATTTTTTTAAAATTTACTCAGAAAAATTATTTCTTTCTATATTTGCCATTCTGAACTTCGAAAAGATGTTTTATACCAGCATAGAATTTTTCTCTAGAGCTTGGTCTTATATCGTTTTCATGACAATATCTATATTCTTCATATAAAGCCCTTTTTTCATACATTTCATAAGGACAATCTAACCAGAATAGCGCATATCCATTTTCGTTATCTAGGTCTCTATATGTTTCTTCTGTTTGTAGAATTTCGCTTTCTCTATTTAGTTCTATGTCTATATATTGTGGCTTAAAAAGATGTAGGCAAGAAGGGTTTGGCCTATGTAAAAAGTTAATTTTTCTGTCATCTTTTCTATCGGATAAAAAAAAATATTTTTTTTAAATTTACTCAGAAAATTTTTCTTTGTATATACACCATTCTGTACGTCTAAAAGACTTTTGACATTTGCCAAGAATGTTCGTTTAGAAGCTGTCATATAACCATATCTTGACAATATTGTTTATACGAATCGTACAATGACCTTTCATCTAATGACACAAAGTCAGTTTCATCTATGAACAGTTCATATACACTCTTGTTTGCTTAACAATGTTTGTCTCTCTTCGGTATGTGGAATTTGTCTTGGATTGAACTTAGAAATATCTAATGTCATGAAATATGAGAACAAGTGGTTGTAAAAGTCAGATGTCAAAGTTTCTGCTAAGTCGTCAAAATATTCTGTATCTTGCATATGAGAATCTGACGTTCTGACAACTACATATCTTCTGTCAGAACTTTCTAATTTCATCGGAAAGCATTGTTTGAAACCATAATGAAGTTTGCAACATTTTCACAAACTCTTTGGTCTTTATATTTTCTTTCAACAACTCCAACTTTGTCTGTTATAAAGACTCTTCAAAGCATCTGAGTTCAAAACTTTTGTGTGTATCTATACTTTGAAGTTCGTTACATACTATAAGTTTCATATTCTCTATTGAAGAGTTAAATTTACCGCAGATGTTTTCTAAGTTTGTCATATTCGGATTCGAATAACCTTCTAACAGTTTGCACAAAATATCTGTAAAGAATGTGTTCTTACCTGTTCCTTGTTTTCCAATTATAATGAGAGCAGTTTTCATTTTTAGCACTTGATGTTGTAAGATGTTTGCAAACCAACATAAGATATACTCATAGACTCTTTCGTTTCCATTGCATATAATTTCTTTGACATGGTCTAAACCAAGCTTCTATAATATTTTCTTTCCATTCTACTTGTTCATATTTATATCCAGTGAAGATAGAATAGAAGTTTGGAGAAGGTGTATAGAACTTTATACCTCGAACTGAAAAATCTTCTAACTTTGACAATAAGATATCCCAAGCATCTAACATCTTCATGCCAACTTGTACAACTTTTATTTTCTTAAGTTTCTGTCTACATTCTTGTTCAGACACTATTGTTGCTCTTGGTTTGTTAAAGACAACATCCCATTCTTTCATGACATAACATTCTGGGCAGAGTCGACATAAATGACTAAACGTTTCAAATTCTCGACTGCTTTGTTATAGTCTCGAAATGGACACATATTTCTGAATGCTTGGAAGTCATAAAAATCTGAAACATCTATTCTGTACATTTTTATAAAAATAAAAAAAATATTTTTTATTCTTGACTTTGTTGTTCTTGAGCTATTTGTTGCATTTGTTGTTCTTGAGCTATTTGTTGTTGAAGTTGTTCTTGTAATACAATACTTTCACCAGTTGCATCTTCCAATTCGAAACTTTCTGCCGTCATTGACAAATACATAGGACATAAAAGTTTTACAGGAACAAAGTTTGCGTCAACTAAGGTTAAGTTTATGTTTGCTAAAGTGTTTGAGTTTACTAAGGTTGAAAATTCTGCATTCGAATGAACAATAGGCAAACCAGCAGAGAATGTGTTATTTATACGCATAAGTATCTTTTGGTCATAGTAGTTTCTGTCGACATTCGAATAACACTTTGAACCTAAGTTTGAAACAATATATAAAATAGGTGTACTTAAAGTCAATGGAACAGACATTCCTTGTATGACACCTTTTCCTGTTATAGGAAACTGTTGGTAGTAAAAACCAGATATAAGTTTTGTATTATAGCTCATATTGTTTATAGTAAACTCAGTCGGACATCCAAACATAATGAAACCTGCTCTAGTTGCAGCACATGTTACACCCGTACTTAAAGTATTAAATAAGTCAACAAAACCTGTGGTGGTATATCTGAGTAAGTATCTTCAAAGGAGTATTTTTACCATTCACAACAATAAAATCTTTTGGTGTCAAAAGAGCAAAACAAGCTTTAGTCGTTCATTGTGTTTAAGGTTAGTTTACAATATCGTCCTTGAGGACTTTGTAAGTTTGTTGTTATAGAATTATATGACTCAGGGTTTTTAGTCGTAATAGTATAAACCATTGTGTCTTCTGCCATTTACTTAGCAAATAAATTTAATGAAATGTTGTGGTCGTCAAATATTTTTATAACGTCTGGGAAACTATATTTTAAGTTCAACGTTTCACCTCCTTTCATAACGTATATCTTGTCAATGACATTAATTGAAACACCACAGCAACTAACGTCGGGTTCTATTTCTTTGATGTTTATATCGTCTGCCTCTGTCAAAAGTTTCAATAGTTCTTTCAAAAC